GGCATACGGGAGAATCAAGGAACAGTTCTACTCACGTGTGGCCCAGGCTGGGAATCGAACCCGAGTCACAGTACTGAGAGGCAAGTCCTTCATGCACAAGCCATACGAGCCACCCTGATAACGAGGTGATTTGGAAATTGCAGAAGAGCAAATGGTAACTACATATTTTACCTATTCTTAAGCAGAAAGCTGACACTGAATAACACTATACTAGTAACCTAAAATACACCGAAAAAGAATTTGAAACTGAAAAAAATCTTTATGACCCCTGTTACAGTTCAGATACCATACTGAATAAAACCAGCGTTTTACCCTGAACGAAAAAATTCAAAAAAAAATTTCTACCACAAAAATAATGCGAGTAGGTACTTAGACGGTAAATTAGTACATGCATTGTGTAAACACTAGCATATTAACATAATTGATAATGCTTTGCTAAGATTGCACAGAAAAATCAAAACTGCGCTAGTCACACATATAATGCAATTAGTTGATAACATGCCTGTCCAAATGTACCCTGCACTTTAGCAGACACAGTGATCAGCTCTCATGCACATGAGGGCTGACAGTGACCATGAACTCAGTTTGGATTTATTTCCCCCCTGCATAGTTAAAACTGATCCAAAGTAGGCAGCAGAAACATCTTGCATTACTTGATATTAAGAACTGGAAATAAAAGGAAATATGTTCCTTTCTAGACCAGACAGACAATTTTCGGGGTATTTTTAGAATTCAGGCAAGGACCCTGATACAATTATTGAAACCTTAAAAAACAATAAATAAAAATGCAACAAAACTATTTGATTGCCAAGTCTCTAGGAGACAAATAATTAGAGACAATATAGAAACTACATTTTTTTCAACTATTGCTTGCTACAGAAATGGCCAGTGACGGTCTCACAACCTTTTTCCCAGACATTTACGGGGGCTTAAGAAAAGTCACTTAGAAACAAGGCTATTCAGTTTCTAACTAGTCATTATTTTAGTATTAGATGACACATAATGCCAGGAATGTATGCCTTATAATTTATAGCTGGAAAATTGATCCATTAAAGCATGACCTGTTCCGGACCAATCACAGCGGCATCTGCACAACCAAATGCCCAGCAATCATCCAGCATGATGGACTCGAGTGTGTTGCTAGGTGGAGCAATGCTGGAGGGGCTAGTGGTGGGTTTGTGGGATTGGTCTGCTCTGAGCAGGACGTGGCAAGCTCACCCCTGCCCCATACCACTACAGTTCCTCCCACCTCACTCAACTATCCCCTTATCCATCCCCCACCTTAATCACCAAGCAACGGATCTTATGGTCATCTCCCACTCCCCTTATCCCCTTCAACCCTTCCTACCCTACCCCGCCCACCCAACCCCTCACCCAAGCCCTACCATAAAAGGTCTTCAGTTTCAACCCTAACCAACCCATAACCCACATTTTTATCAATCAAAGGAAGACAAACTGGGCAACGAAGTTGGCCGCCCCTATGGCTATAATGGAGGCATGTGCCACCACCACGGGCCAGGTCAGCCGTCCCTGCTGCTTCAGCTCCAGCAAGTAAACCACGCAAGGCAGGGTAAAGATGTACGCTAGGCCGCAGAAGGCTCCGGAGAACCTGAACAGGCAAAAAGCATCAAGTAAGGTCCAGTTGGACATCAGCAGTGTTGCCCGATTTAAGTCTGGACCCAGACCCTAATTTCTTGGACTTGATAGATTTCTCAGACTCTGGTTTTGCAAACTTGAACTTGGACTCGAACTGATCAGTCTGGGAGCTGGACTCGGATGTGGTGGCCTCCACTACAATGCTGCATATCACGCATATTCTGACTATCTTATCTGTCCAAACAACAATGGCTGACACTCTGCCATGACAGCTCATCTGGAGTTTAACAATAGACCAAAAGCTGATGATGTCTAACCACTTCTCGTGTCTATATGTAATTTCAACCACTGAAAATCAACAAAGACATGAAGATTTGTCCCAAACCTTCCCCCAAAACGGCAAAAATGTGGAATCATTGCACATCTACTGATTTCACGATTTTCATGTAATAAACTACACCTATTTCATGTGTGTAACCAAGCCTCAACATTTCGCGACCCAGCCGCCAGAAATTGCAGCGGGGTCAGTAAATTACAAAGTTCAAAGTAGGATTGTGCACAAAACGTGACCTGAGAAAAAATGGGATTCCTCTCGAGTGCAGAGTACTGATTTTAACATGAACATACCTGATGATGGTGCCAATCTGAGGTAGGAAGACAGCAAACAGTACTGCTACGGTGATCAGTATGAGGTTGAGCACTAGGACGTGCTTCCAGCTAAAATTGCGGACAAATAAGTTACTCCATCTTGATACAACACCAGATTTTTGGTCACAAGCTCATGTTTTTCAAGCAAACTATCACAAACTGGGAAAAAAAGCACTTTGAGCTCATGTCAAAAAAATGCAATGTGCACAAAAACGGCTTAGCAGAGACAAGTGGTTTTGCCAAGAATCACAACTGATTCACTGACCAAAACAGTACTGTGATACACATCACTTGTGACTGGTTCCCAGTATTCAGAACCATTTTTCATGGGGGGGGGGCAAACTTGTTTCGGGACATAAACGATTCCTAAATTTCTTTTTGTCAACTTTTATGGCCTTTCTTAGCAGATGGGACCAAATTCTGGGGCATTGTACAATGTTTTGGAAGGAGGGGAAGTGGAAAAGCCCTCCAAACTTATTTTTTCTCATTTTTCAAAGATTTCTTTTTCATCTTTATAATCAGCAGAATGCACTAGCAAACAGGGGAAGCATGACCCAAATTCCCCCAAAGGGATTTGCCACTGCATATTGCTGTTATTTTCAGGAGCAATTTGACTTTTGTCTCTGCGAAGAAGTCTCACAAAACATATAATAAATTTCTACTTCTTTACTTGGCTTTTATTGAAAGCGAACAATCAAACGAATAAATAAAAAATTGGTTGGGAAAAAGTGGGAAAGGGCCAACCTGGGATAAGCGCTCTTAAAGAGTGGGTCCAGACACTGGATCCTAAAGATGAAGACCAGCAGAGGGAAGAGTGTCACCATTTGGAACAGCAAGAACAGCCTGGCCGTGAACGCGAACACATCTCCGTGGCTGAAGTTGTCCAGCAGATTCTAGTGGCATAAGAAACGACAGAAACTGGTCAATGGTCAACATGTTGAGCAGGGCCAAGCTGACAATCCAACACGGTGCTTAAGTTTCTACTTGGGAAATACTAGTCCACGTTGGAAGGGGGGGAGAAAGCTGAGATACTCAACAGCAGAGTAAACCTGGTAAGCCCCGCCCACTGCACACATGGCTAATCAACACAAGCATCACATGCATGGCTAATTAGCACATCATTAGGTGCGTACAGCAATGCAAGACATTGGTGTACACTTGTCAGCCATCAACCAGGACTGTGATTGGACAGAATACCATGAGGCAAGGCTCTATATAAAACATGTATACACATGCAGTGTGTCAGCCCCACTGGAACTCACTGCAAGTAAACTGTGAGCCCTCAGTGAGTCCACAGTAACTATGATGTACAGACTACTCACATCAGCCAGGCAAGCTTTCTTGAGTGGGAAGGTGGAGTAGAACATCGCACCAACAAATGTGTATGTCGCCGCCACCAGAATATAGGCAATGGTCATGTCTCGGCCCTGTCATATATGACCAAATGATATCAGCATCTAGCAATCCCAAACTGCCTTGATAAAGTTATAACAAAATATAAACTAATTCAGCGACCAGTATTTAACAGGAACCATTACTTCTGCGACACCGTACTCACATGCAGGTGGTACATGGCTGTTATGTTCCTCTTTGGCCAATAGGGCGCTGTAATTTGCCAAATGTACACGTGCCTAAAAGTGTAAGAACGTGTGCCTGAATGTGATGCCACCACAGTTTTGGTACCTTGCTGGAATAGTCTATGAGTGGAATACATGTGAGTTATGATTTCTACGGGTTTCATCACTTGTTTCTAATCTACAAATCCAATAAACAGTTAAAGCAGTCTTTTGTTATTCATTCTTGTTGGGTGCCATGGTTACCATTAGCACTTCGCCATTGCTTGTCTAGTTCAACTGCACATTTATATAAGCAGTCACTTATTTCAGTATCATATCAAAGTCTCCTACACTGCATTCTAATCCATAAGGCTTTCTACCAGATTCCAACTAGAATGTCTCCCCCCCTTCTTCCTGAGTGAAAAGTGGAAACCTCAAGCGACTCACATTATTCTTGGGGTTTTTCTGGGTCCTCAGTATGGAGGAGATGCACATGTGAATGAAATAGCCAAGCGCCAAGATGCCGCTGAAAATTGGGAACTCGGGGCTGAAGACTGTTCAGCCGGCAGACCGGTACATCGAAACACAAAGATTGAAGCAAACAAACAATATTCGATGACTGTTTTTGTCTTTACAGTTTACTGACTTACACACGACAACACCAAACTGTGTGACGTGAAGCGGCATGAGATGTGGAATGGGGTGGGGCTTTGCTGTTCATGCAGCATGCTTTGTTGATAGCGAAGTGAAAAGGAAGCACAAAGAGTGTGGATCTATCGTTTTGTGAAGCAGCCGCCCTCCAAAAAAAAACCCCAAATCTACAGTTGGCACTCTGTAACTCTCAGATGTGATTTTCCTCTTTTGAAGATGGCAAGAAATTAAGACAGGTGTCATGTTAACCACAAGTGTATGAAAATAATCCAGCCTGGGATCAGCACTGGCCTGCAGAACTGTTTACCTAGAAAGGCACAGGTTCAACAGCTAGACGTTTAAGGTGTGTTAACAGAACTGCCATCTTGAGATGTAACTTTGAGCTTGGATGAATATCAATTTGGGACACCCATTGTTAAAATTCAAATCTGCCCTATCCGGCTCTTCAATCTGTGAAGAAAATCACATCCCGGAGCTTCACAGCACGCTCACAGCAGATCCCGCATCTTACATCATTTTCCGACTGGCGCTGGGCCCGCAGGATGGAGGAGATGGCGTTATGGATGAAGAAGCCTAGCGACAACAGCCCGCTGCATGCTGGGAAATGGGCACTGAGCACTGGTTGCCATGGCAGCAGCATGTTCAGTGCATTGTGGGTTGCGTGTTACAGTGCCAAAATAAATGCCATGATTTCGGAAGCACAAAAAGAGAATGGACAAAAGTAAAAAAAGAAATTGTTTTAAAAAGGCAAAAAAAACCCAGAAAACAATTAGTAAGCATATAGTGCATCCCCAACGACGTGCATATAAAGGTGACTGCTCACGAGTTTGTGCTTTAGTCTGTTGCATATGTATTGCATCCACTGTCTTATGTTTGGTAACTATAACATAATTAAAAAATCTTAGATTTTAAACACAAATGCCTTCTCAGCGGTTAAAAAAAAAGGAAAACTTGGCATTGCTTGATCAAAGACCATTTGCCAGCCATTGGTTCAATTTTCCCTAGTTACCTATACAATGTACTGGGTTCCAGGTGAAACTGACCAGTTGTACAATAACAGTTACTGATCAAATGTCACCAATGCCGTCAAAGTCCACTGACTGCACAAGTGCTCCCTTGCTGGAAAAATGGGGGGACTTTGAACCAGCCTTCTGTACACTTTCTCGGTATGTATGCTCTAATGCCAAATGGAAACACTGTGAAGTGAGATCAACAGCAAGATGAAAACTTTCACATTAATGATTCTTCATTCCCCGCTTAGCATGGGGCAAATCAGATTTTTAAGCAAACAACACTGAGCAAAAACAAATGCAAGATTGTAAAGAAGCAAGCATTTTGCAGAGGGTTAAAAAGGCTTTTTAGCTTTGATTGCAAATAACTTTCAAAATGAATTACAATCAAATGATCTCAGGGTAAAACCTGAGGAAAATATCGCAGTGTTTCCTGTCCATATCTGGAAGTTGGGGGATAAGACTTTATGTGAATAAAGCTGACGAAATGGATCTCGATGGACTCCATTCAGATATTTGGTTTCTCTGCTGAGGGGGGAAACACTGCACAGGTTCAAGTGTTCCAATAGCAAGTAATTCTTATCTCAAATACATTGGAGCTTGTTACCTACTTTATTTACATGGAAATGTGAAAATAGTAGATGTTCCAAATGGCCAACCAAACAAAATGGTTTCAGTGGCTGATGAAGTCAAAGTCAAAGTAGATGTGAACTTCTGTGATCTTCCCGCAATGATGCAATTAGTTTGTTTACATAAAGTCCCCCTGCTGGGTTTTGAGCAAAGCTGGGCACTCATCAAGGACACACTGTGTGTCTACTGCACCAGCAAACCTTGTAATAGCACGACTTATATGGAACCACCTGTTGTGAGCCCTGAGGCCAAATATAAACCAGCCATTCACTCATCCGGGACAAATTCAGGGCTTCTTGTGGGTGAAGTTAATGTTGCCACCCGCAACTTGTCTCGGACGAGTTTTGAAATGGTCCCTTACATATTGAGAGCACATGAGCTGCACGTCAACCAAACTTTGTTTCAACTGTCTTGTTTTGTTTACACACGATATCAGGAAAATTTCATCTACAGCAAACACACTATTTTTTCAGGACTGAAAAGTCTGCTAAACGCTTGACGATCCTACTCACGTGCTGAGTAATACTTGGAGCCAGGGTCTGCAAAGTCCATGTGGAAGCCGCCAAACCGGACGGCTTGGACAGTGACAAACACGATGAGGAACAGCACCGACAGGGTCCCTGGGGGTGAGGGAAAATGATAGGACGAATCAAGGTCATAGCTTCCTGAAACTCTGCCACCTAGGTGTTAGTCTAAGCTTTGGTCAGGGTAAATGCAATACCGCACATCACAGATACTTCATAGTCTGTTCTAGTCCTACGCTTGTGTGGAAGTAGTCAACCTTTGGTATTCAATAGACCTCTACCATGGGGCATTGCTTTTCTACCATTTGAAGCAACGTAACCAAACTGAGGCTGAATCATCTGTTCCTTTATTCCAATACTTGAAGTGGTGTTGAGGTTGTCAGTGGGTGTGCAGGGAACAAGACAATTACGGCAGCATCATGATAAAGGTCTTGGGTCTACTACTCTGCACTTAAGTGTAATGAAGGAAGTTGTAGAGAAATCAATGTGTATGAACAATTATCTCTTTTAATAACTAAAATGGCTACCAACAAAACAATTATGGAGGGTTGACTGAAACACAGGCCCTATACTTTTCTTTCTTTGCAGCCTTAAGCTTTTCAAGACCAGCGATCCCTATGACATATTACTGCTTTGCTTAACATTAACCATGCCTTTGGCCAAAAAGAAACATTGTTTTATTGCAACTATACAACTTGCAATATGTTGTAAGGGTCAATATGGAAATTTCCATTTAAGTGAGAATGAAATTTTGTCCAAGAGGTACCAACACAACACTCAATTCGCTAGTCACTGTGCTCGGAAAAAGATGGTAAACTGAAATAAACTCCTCCGTGTGAACCAGGCCAGAAATGGGTGATGAAATCTCCGAGCCAGCCGTGGTACAAATTCACTTTACAGAGTTTCTGATTTGCAGGTGAGGCACATCCACTTACCTAGAGCGTTGAACTTGGTGAAGAAGGTCGGGGATTTGAAGTTCATGAGCGGGAAGACTAGAATGCATAGGAAGAGTGGCACGGTGTGCGTCTTGCTCCAAACTTTTGCAAACATCGTCTCCGCGGCATCGGTGATGTTAGACACTGTGGAGAAAACGGTCAGGGTACCTCAATTCAAGTTCTGGGCTAAAGAGTAAGAAACATTAAAGTATAACTGCATTTTTTATAGCACATAAAGCTGAGATTATAGGTTGGTTAAGTCTCGATGAATCACATTCTGCCTAACTGCCGAAGGAAAGCAAAGAAATGACGTCATCTGATTATAGATTTGTTGTTCAGCAAACGCCTTTGCACGTAGGATTCAAGGTCAAATTGTGTTGCCTTGATTGAAAGAGGTCCACAACAGATTGCCATGTCTCATTCAGAGGAAGGCAGTCATGAATGAGACAGTTCGAGGGCCACTCACTGTTGACGTTCACTCCGAGTTGGCTGGTAGCGCCGTCTTGATGGCCGAGCGCACACAGTGTGGCATTGCCAGTAGTATTCAGTCCCACTGCACGACCTGCATCAAGACACCAACCAGTAATAAACCCATCAAACCCAACTACTATCCACCAAAACAAAATGCCAGGTTTCACAGTGTTTGGATGGATTTGGGACTGGAAACTGGGCTTGATGAACCAGCTTTGTGCATGCATGAAGAATGTATCACACACATCACCAGTAACTTGCTGTACAAAAATCCAATAAATATATTAACTGCTATATCTGGCCACTTTTCTTCAAATGAAACAGAAATCAATTTAAAATAAAGCGAAAATTCAATAGGTCACCATGAAAAATAACATGGTGAGACTCTCACAAGTGGGTCATCGGGCAATATATGTCATTGCTGCCTATGATAACCAAGAACACTGAAAATGCTCAGGAGTTAAAAAACAAACCTGGTTAAATGTTAGAATACAAAGTACAACTCAGTAAAGATCTGAGGAAATCCTAAGCCCAAAAGAGTGCAAGGTAACACCTACTAACTTGATAACGACAGCTGTATTCACAAAGCACAAAAATGCTCAAGTAAGTTCCAACAATTTGTCACAATTCTACAGGCAAGTTGTGGTCGGCCATTATGCAACCACAGTGGCATTCTGTGCATACTCTGGCATATTTTATAGAGTCCTGGCAATATGAGAATGCGAGGGCCAATTACCATAGATGAAGCTGACAGAGCTGTACATGAAGTTGGACATCAGGACCCAGTAGACTATCATGGCTCCTAGCAGGGCAGCTAGGGAGAAGAAAACAGCCGCATACTCCCCTGGACGGCCCAGGTACTCCCGACAGACGTCCGAGAACTCCACCAGCTTGCCTCCACTCTCTGACATGAGACAAAGAGGAAATGATTACGGTAAAGCTAGACGTAAAGGAAGGAAACTGACAATATCCTGTGTTCCAATGCAGCAGTAGTAAAGGCCTAGTTTCCTGATGGAGGTACTCTCTGAAACCAAACTGGTGTCAAGTTCTTTGTCGTGCCAAACAATGATACTAAATGTAAATATGGAATGGGCTGCTAGTGCCTCATTTAAGGTCAGAGAGATATGTTAGAAGTTTGAATGCAGCTGCTACTGTGTGCCCAATGACAGAACTGAGCCACTTCAGATTTGTGCACATTCAGCTGAAAATCAGTCATGCATGCTCTAATCTGTATGTGTGGGAATCAGTGCATGCACCTTGTGTGTCTGCCGCACAACGCACAGAACAGGAATTGAGCCTAGGTAACCACACAGACTTTTTCAAGAATCCAAGGTTTTTTGTACAGGGGGAAATAGGAATCTCAACAAAAAGCTGTGTTAACATACAAACAAGCATCTGCAAACAGATGGCATGGACTCCACTACTATTTAGCAAAGTATGTGGCTATGGCTACCCATACCACACACATCAATGAGATATGGTTATCAACATCTCATAAGTCTAGGCAATATGTAGCCACTAGCTAACAGCTTTCATAGACATGTGATATTAGCCATAGCCAAACAATTTGGACGGGCCAGTTCAGATGACTGTCTAATGCCATGACCTACCCAATCTCTGCACAGACTTCACCACCCTGTAGCATGTGTATAAGGTCAGCCCTGCCATGCCCACCAGGAGAATCAGACCCATCAGGAAGCCAGACTGCTGGATGGCCCAAGGCATGCTAAGTAGTGACGTGCCCATCATGGTGTTCCAGATAGAAAATCTACCATTCAGGGAATAAAACCGAGACACCGATTCAAATAATCAAAGGTGATAAAGCGGTTGAAATGGATAAAGATGAAACTCGCATTGTACAATGAAATTCAATAGATCAACCGATCTGTAGGGAGCAGTGTGATTATATCTATTGAATTAAGTTTGCATGGCAAAAGATTGTAAGTTATTTTTGAAGGACCAGACAGAGAAAAGTTTTGAATTCTGCGTCTTGATTGAAGAGATCACTACACTGATTACAAAACAACACTGCTTTACATGACACAGTAACTCACATTGTTACGAGGCTACCTTGTTTTCCCTCCTTGTCCTTGAATGGCAACTCGACAGACAGAAGAAACGGAGGCAGAACATGGTCTGGGATTTCCTGCAAGATAAGAAGGCAGGCCAATTGTAGTGATAGTGCCAATCTCTCATTGTTATCACAGGATACCGATATAATTCTTCCAAGGCGGGCAATAACAACACAAGACATAGAAAGACACACTGCCAGTCCCTTGCAGCAATGTTCCAATTTTGACCAACAATCACGAAGACTTTCTTCAAGCGAGTTCCCGGCAACATTCACATTGAATGTTTACACATAAAATTATATCTATGCATGTCCATATAGCAATCAGATTTATCATTCACACCCACTCTCAAAGGTATGGCATGGGCATCATGTCTAATGTTTACACAAAGGCCACAAAACTACTCCAAGTTTTTCAGGTTTGAATTATATGTCATAAAGCTAATATGACTGTAAGTACAGGTGTTAAGGAATTGTTATGGCAACAGTCTGGTGGCTGCAACAACACAGAAGGACCAGAGAAATTTCCTATAAAACTTGTGTCGTCTATGTTGTCAAGAGAGGTACTTGCTTGAATCCTACCAGTGTGTTATTACGTTGGCCAGGGTTACCCGCCAGCCGACTGTAGTAACGGTAACGGTTGAATGTGGCCGCTGTCTTCTCATCAACAGCGTTCTCTATCTGACCGTCATTAGACAAGTAGGTGGGGACGGAGGAATAATGGAATGGTTTCCTGACAGGGAAAAACAGAATCAAATAATCGGCACGCAGCAACTTTTTCCTCTTGGGTTAACCTTGCTTTTGCTGTGCTCACTGCTTAACGGTCTCTGTGAAACGGACGGAGGCTCTTTTAGTACAAAACTGGCTTTTAACCCCTTCGCTACGGATGACTGCTACTACCGCACCGTTCTGTGAGCATTAGTGCATACCACACATACAGTCTATTCA